TTTGATTTTGAATGCTTCCAGCTCACAACTTTGGCAAAACAGTCTCTGCCATCATCAAGGTGGCTGTGGTTCCTCCAAACAGGTCACCTTTATCTCCCTTCTTAATGGTACCTTTTCCCCGAAAAAAGCCAAATAGTCCTTGCAGAACCACTGAGCGCAAACGGATATGATGCGCAAGCTTGAAAGCAAAGGTCCCAAAAAGTCCATTTCACATACCTGAAGTCAGAAAGCTGGTGGTGAAGTTTTCATTAAATCAAAATATAACTTGACTGGGCCTGCTGATGTTTCTTAGCCCTTTTGACATCAGCACCAGTGGCAACAGCAGCTAGTGCTTACTATGTGCCTGGTACTGTTCTAAGTGCTTTCCATGGACTAATTTATTTAATCCTCACAATACGCTTATGAGGCAAGGTAGTGTTATTATCCCCAAGATCAAGGTGCCAGCAGGATTGGATCTTCTGTAGCCTCTGTCCTTGGTTTGCAGATTGCCACCCTCTTGCTGCCTCTTCATATGGTCTTTTCTCTGTGTACATATATTTCTGGTGTCTATGTGTGTTCAAATTTACTCTTCTTATAAGTACGTCTGTCAGATTGGATTAGAGTCCACCCCTATGGCCTCATTTGAACTTAATTACCTCTTTAAAGACCCTATCTCCAAATAGTCACATTCTAGGTATCAGGGATTATGGCTTCAACATATTAAATTGGGGGCTGGGGAGTGGGAAGACACAAGTCAGCCCTTAACAGCTTTACTACTATATACAGAGGACAATGTTTCTCTCTCCTCCCCTCTTTCTCTTTCTTCCCTCCCTCCTTCACTCCACTCCCTTCCATCCCTTTTTCCCTCTCCTTTTCTTCTGTGTCATGGCAGATTTGCTATTATATTTATTATAACACATAATACTTTCCAAATAAATGTCAAGCTATAGCCAACCAGCTTATCAAGAATGTTCAAGTAATGTTCCTTAACACTGAAATTTCTCTGATGAGCTTTCTCTTAACTAGTGATTCCAGTCACTCTGATAAATAATCTTGGTGCTCTTTTTCTAAAATGAAGCTGAGAAACCTTACAGTGGTGGGCATGTGTCATGCCAGTTAGCTTTGGTCTGGTTATTTTAAATGGTTGGGACCCCTCCTGGGCTACAGCTGGCCTTAAGGACTTTTATTTTGCAAGTCCTTAGTTGAGCTCAGATTGACTTAAAATAAGACATAGGCAGATAGGCAACTCCTTCTTAAGCCTGATGATCCAATTAGGCAGGAAGCCAGCTTTTGATTTTTCTTTTGCCCTTCCTTCTTGGCCCTTTATATTTTTAAACCTTTTTTTTTTTTTTTTGCTCATTAGCAGTAATGAGGAAGCAAGGAAAATAAAATGAACTAATTAGTGTGTATGCCAGTAACACAGACGAACATACACTCACATATATAAAGACAGAGAGAGGATTGTAGGAAGTTGGCATAGTCAGCTAAAGGATTGGGGGTCATCAGTGAATTTCCATGTGCTGTACTCTGTCCTGTGACTCATTGGCACCAGGGTTTGCAGACCAGCTAGAGAATGCCCAGGTCTCAGTTCCTCCTGGTTCACCATCTTCGAAGCTGACACCTTAGAAGAAGGAACGTGTATTACAATGGCCTATGTTACAAGTAAGTGCTCTTTGCAGCAAGAATTCTGGAGAAGGTCTCTTTTTGGCTTCGGATGAAATATTGCAGGGCAATTTTTCTTTTGCTTCTTAAAGGGAAAGGGTTCAAGTGGGGGTCAGGCTCCACCACCAGGAGGAAGCTTGTCTGGTCTAATTTTAACTTCTAGAGGGGGAATTTAGGAAGATAAAATGACTTGCTGAAGATGCCAATATGGGTGCCTCTAGAACCCAGGTCTCCTGACACAGACTTCACAGCTCTTTCTGTGTTGTCTGACTGAAATTTTGGGAGGGGTTTGAATGCTAGTGAGTCAAGGTGCTGGAGATGCTTCTTAGCCTCCCTCCATCTAAGAGTTAGGTCATAGTCTTCTTTAAGAAGCTGAAGAGAATCATAGCAGCTATTTCTAAAAAAATACAGAAACATAATTTTGCTTACAATTTTACTAGGGACACACAGACTGCCACCTCCCACCCCTCTCCCTACAAGCCCATCCATGGATCTCATGTTA